CCGCGCTGCGCCTTCGCCAGGACGCGCGGCTGGGCACCCGCCAATGTCCAGTCTCCCCAAGGCCCTGTGGGCACTGCTGCTTCTCTCTGAAGAGCCAGGTTCATGCTCCAAGGGGCTGAGAACGCTGGAGACCTGGATGTTTATTTACCTCAGATCAGTCGCACACATACCCAACTTCATGGCTGCATAGGTGAGATGGCACATGGGCCACATTCTTTTTTTTTTTTTGAGACAGAGCCTCAAGCTGTTGCCTTGGGTAGAGTGCCATGGCATCACAGCTCACAGCAACCTCCAACTCCTGGGCTCAAGCAAGTCTCCTGCCTCCACCTCCCAAGTAGCTGGGATTACAGGCGCCTGCCACAGTGCCCAGCTATTTTTTGGTTGCAGCCGTCATTGTTGTTTGGTGGCCCCAGGCTGGATTTGAACCTGCCAGCTCAGGTGTACATGGCTGGTGTCTTAGCCACTTGAGCCACAGGTGCCGAGCTTTGGGCCACATTCTTGATGTCACCTGGTTAAGGCCCAATAGCAAGCCAGAAGCTCACAAAGACATGGCCTTACTCAAGAATCCCAGAGTTCTGTCCTGTGAGTGAGTCTCTACTGGTGCATGTCATGGTCCACACACTGGGCTCTAGACACTTTGAATATCAATGGACCTGCTGACTCATAGGGCAATGCAATACTCTGGCTTCTCTTTAGATCAAATAAATCTTTCACCTTTTAAGGGAAAAGTGGTACAGCAGCTTGCACCACAACCTACACTGTCTCTGGTCAGTGGAAGTGGCCTAAAGTACAGTAAATGTGGAAGTACAGTAAATGTTCTACTAAAATCCCCAAAGTCCAACTAAAATGTTCTGCTTCTTTTTCATGGTAGGTGGTTAAAAAAAAAAACACAGCAAATTGTCTTTCACTAGGAGGGGTATTTCAGCATATTCCAGCCCACTGCACGTCCTGAAACTTCAGTGTGTGTGTGTGTGGGGGGGGGGGGGGGCTCAAGTGCTTTCCTGGGCTGGTCATAGGCCTCAGTGCCTGCATCCCAGTGCTGCACCCCACAAAAAAGAGCGTTTGGACATTTCTGGAGGTCATCCAACTCTGACAGTCTGTGACCTCCTACCCAAGGGTGAAGGGAAAGAGGTCTTGGGGAACAACTGGAAGGTGACAAAGGTTTTCCCTGAAAGCACCAAGTGTCCAGGTTTTGTTAGAGTGGGAAGCTATTGGTAGGGGCTTCACGGGCCAAGAAAAGATTTCTGCAGACCAAGATTAGGACAAAAAAGTATAAACTTTATCTTCTTAGAAGGAAAGAGGGAGTGAGAGAGTGAAAGAGAGTGAGATTAAGAGGAAAATAGAGCTGAGGAAGAAAGGAGAAATACGGTCTCACCCTGACAGGCAGCAGCTCTTATGGAACAAAAGAGAAGGAAGAGGAGTGGGCAGGCCTTTCCCAGGTGTTTCTGACCTATCTATCCTGTTGTTGATTCTGCCCCAAGATGCGGTTTGAGGCGAGTCTCAGGCCGCCGCACCCACCTTGACCAGTCTGGCTGCGCATCCCTTCCACTTTCCCGCTGAGCCCGATGGAACGTGGAACAGCGCGGGGTACCGGCCAGCTGGAGAGCCAGGAGGAGGCCCTTCCTGGAACTGTGAGTTCGTCATTTTTCTGTTATTTTGCTGTCAAGACTGGCCGGACAGTTAGTCCCGCAGACGTCTGTGGGGTCCAGGGCAGCCCAGCCCGTCCACTCAGTCTGAATTCGCTAATCCAAGTCTCTCCCCGGCCCCAAGGGAGCCTCAATATTCACGGAACAAACACGCACAGCCTCGACCTCACTTCGTTCCTGCCCAAAGGCCCCCTTCTTCCGTCCCTGCTGTCGGCTGAGAGGCAATAAGAGGCGCCTCAGCCCCAGCTCCAGCCAGTGGAGGACGGCAACGCGACAGAGGAGGAGGTGACAGGGACCACTGGACACTCCGGCCCCGCCTGAAGTTATCTGCGTGAGGAACCATGCCTCTGCCCCAGCACGAGGGGCCGAGCTGCGCGTCCTAATCCGGCTTCACCTCAGCACCCTGCGGACCCCGCGCTGCGCCTTCGCCAGGACGCGCGGCTGGGCACCCGCCAATGTCCAGTCTCCCCAAGGCCCTGTGGGCACTGCTGCTTCTCTCTGAAGAGCAAGGTTCATGCTCCAAGGGGCTGAGAACGCTGGAGACCTGGATGTTTGTTCGGCCTCAGATCACAAGCAAACCGTCTGCTGGGCCTCCCTCCAAACCACGGAGGAAGCTCATCTCGGTTTTTCAGTTTTCTGTTGGGAGTCCCCGCGTCCCCCTGCACCCTGTGGCGGAAATTAAGAGACAGCTGGTAAGGTCTTTACCAATAAATTATGAAATGGGCCAAAGAAACTGGGGTTATGGTGGGTTTTAACTTTCCTTAGTCTTACAGTTTCTCAAAGAGGCAGTGCCCCTTCCTTAGAGAGGAGCCCCTTCCTTAAGAGAGGACCCTCACAACATAGGTCACATGTCTAAGACATTGACATTCAAAAGTTCTCGTTTTCAATGTGAAAATTGACTCAGAACGTTCGCAGAATGATACAAAGGAACATGGTTATTTACTCCCATTTCTTTTAAAAGATAAGGTATACATCACCACTTCTTAAGTCAAAGGGAGAATGTAACACAAAAGTTAATTAATTTGTAATGTTATGAAGAAAACCATACTTTATGGAGTTTTGTAATGCATGAAATACGTTTTATGCCTTTGTAAAATCCTGTTAGTCATTCTTCCCAGAAAAATAACTCCACATCCCTTTCCTCAAATCACCAGACTTTGACAAATATCAGAATGATAGAAAAGTTGCTTGGTTTTTGTTTTGTTACTATGTATCAGTAATCTAAGACTTGAGTGCAAAGAGTAAGAAAATAAGAAATGGCAAAGACTTCAATCCATCTGAATTGTTCTATGTCAATGAGATTTGTATCTGCACAGATATACACAGTGAAATGGGAAATTGTAGCTAAATGTACCTTTATTTACAAAATATTCACAAAATATTTCTCTGTGTGTCGATATATAAAGGTATCAGATAAAATAGAGTATGTTAATTTTCCTATGTATGGCAACTTTTGGGACACCCTGTATTTGTATGGTTACAAATCTCATTGATATATCAGATTTTTAGGATTTAAGAGCAAAACAAAGTACACTGACTATTAATAGGATGGCTTTAGCACAGAGCAGACCAATATAAAAATCTTCAATCCCATTTCCTTTGTGAGATCAGAAATAAGTAAAATTTTAAAGATTTTATTCTAAGGCAGGTGCTGTGGCTCACATCTGTAACCCTAACACTCTGGGAGGGTGAGACAGGAGGACTGCTTGAGCTCAGGATGTTCAAGACCTGACTGGGTAAAAGCCAAGACTCTGTCTCTACTAAAAATAGAAAAACTAGCTGCCTCATGGTGGGTATCTGTAGTCCCACCTACTAGGGAGGCTGAGGCAAGAGGATCTCTTCAGCCCAGGAGTTTGAGGTTGCTGTGAGCTATGATGCCATGGAACTCTACCCAGGGTGACAAGGTGAGACTCTATCTCAAAAAAAAAAAAAAAAAGATTTTATTTCAAATTATTTTAAGATGTGATAGATTCAATATGGAAATAATTTTTCAACAGTATTTATTTTAATTTCATTTAATTTTGACAATGCAAAGGTTCTTGTTCCATGATTAGGACTAAACACCAGAGAATGGTAAATTTTTCTGTCCTTTGACAAATGTGCCTCATTCCTGGGACTGACTGATGATTTCTCAGTTTGGGGACTGGGAAGCATGCTTGTGGGGAGGTGGCAGGAAGCACCTCACACTGAGATCTGCAGACACAGCTCCTGCCTGTGTGGGTCATTGGTGAGCACCACAGCATTCCCTGCATGGATACTCACCAGTTGGCAACCAGCTCTGCTGTACTCTTGTCTGTCCCTGCCTCAGGACCACTCTGGCTTAAGCATTTGACTAAGGTTTCTGTTTCTAGTAAATCAAGTACCTTTCATTGCTAATTTTTTTTCTAATTGTGGCAATTCCACATTTATTTTTCCAGATGAAGTTTATAGTTATTTTTGTCATATTTTTCACCCATCCAAAAAAAATTCCACTTATTTTAAATGATTTAAATTTATATATTAATTCAAAGAAAAACAACTTTCCACATTTTATATTCCTTAGAATCTTGTGGAACTGTAGTTTTCTTCCTAAACTTTTTATTTTTCTGTCATCCTGGGTAGAGTGTCATGGAGTCATAGCTCACAGCAACCTCAAACCTCAGCTCAAGCAATCCACCTGCCTCAGCCTCCCAGAGTGGTGGGATTACAGGTGTGAGCCACTGTCCCTGGCCTCTTCCTAAACTTTTCTTAGCTAATATGTCATTGCTAAATAGGATATTTAGTACCGTACTTTCTATTTGTTGATAGAATATGGGAATGTGTATATTGTGTATTCTTATTTTGCTCTACTCACCTTAGTGCTTTCTGGTTAACTCTTAAGGGTCTGCAGATACTTTGTTGCCTGCACTCCATCACTTCATCTTGGAGCCCCACAGAGCAGAGAAGCACTTAGCCCTGACTTCCCTCCCTTTCTGCCACTGTATGGCTATATTTTCACTAAAGTTTCCTATTAGCCCCATGCTAACCCAAAGCCAGAGGACATGAGACCCCTACCCCTACCCCAGACTGGAAGAGGGCAGGAAAGGAGGACCTAAGAGACAGACAGACTCCACAATTATATCACACCTGTGCAAATTCCCAGAATGCCTCGGGCCACACCCACTTGCTATGAGCCTAAAGAGAAACAAGCCAAGGCCAGCCCCCTCATCAGGACTGGAGCATGGGAGGACAGCACAGTTCCTTGTTCCTTGTGCAAACCAGGCTTCTTTCCTCTATGGGCCCAAGGATGTCCATGGAGAAGGTCATGGTGGCCTTAGTGACGGTTTCCAACAGTATTCCAGGAGGGAGGGTGACAGACACAAGCTGAAGAAGTTGGAATTCAAGGAACTCACCAACAAAAAGCTCTCTGGGTTTTACAAATGAGTGTGCTTTCTAAAATCAATGGCTTACCTGTTCCCATTCCTCCTTAGCAGAGCCACCTGTACACCCGAACTGAGCTGTCCTGCAGGTGGCTCCAGTTCTGTTTTGGGGGACTCCTAGATGGCTTCTGAAAATAGTTGAATAATTGAATGATGGTTACAGAGGTGGCTTGGATGGGCCCGTTGTTTTCATTTTCTTGTCAACTGTCTTGTATATAGTAGGCCCATAAAGGAAAGGCAAAAGTAAAGGAATGCTCACCTTTATCCAAAAATCTAAGGATTTACAATGATAATGATAGCAGAATATGATGAAAAAATACTCATGACTTACCATGGGCCAAAGTGAAGTAGGTAAACAGTTAAAAGTTAAGCTTTGGGAATGTTTTGGGGAAAAAGATACTTTTGGTTTTAGCCAAGTGTTTGGCATTTATGTGGAGACAGAGATGCCAGACATACACTCTCTAAATCAGTGGTTCTCAACCTTCCTTATGCCATGGCCCTTTAATACAGTTCCTGTGGGTTGAGAACTGCTGCTCTAGATGTTCACTGGACACTCAGTGGTTCATGCTGCAGGGACACAGGCCCTGCAGATCTAGCCTCTGTCCTGGGGGCACCCAGGCTGGCATATCAATAATTGACTTGGACGCTTGACTGAGGGTGTGGTTGAAGTCTGTGTACACCCTGGAAGCCCTGAGGCCTCACAGGACACCAGCCATGTGCTGTCTTTGGTCAGGGCTCTGGTGAGCCCTTGCTTGCTCCAGAAAAGTCCTGCTCTAGCCTGAGGTAGAAGCATGTCCATACACCTGCATTAAGGACATGCTTCCCCACTCTGGCTGCCCCTGGGTCTGACCCCCACTGCTCTGCCCTTTAGCCTCATGCTCCTATGGAAGTGAACAGAAATGTCCTGTAGCTGGTGTTCCCTCAGTGCTCAGAACCAAGGCTGGCAGACAGCATGCCGTAAACTGGTGGTGCATATGAGATGTGCCTCCTGGGCCAGATGTAACCACTCACACAGAGGAAAAATGGCCAGTGAACTAGCACACTAGTGTCAATCACATGCTGAGTTTGGGTAAACACCAGGGCAGAACCCTGCTATATGGTGCTGAGGCCAGGGAATCACCCTCCTGAGCAGGCCCAGCCCCTAGCTTAAGGATGGCAAGTCCTGGGTCCTGGAGTGAGGTGGTACACATGGTCTAGAGAGCTGGCCGGGGTTCTGTCCCTATTCCCACCCAGACACTCTGTCACACTATCGAGCAAAGCACACAGGCCTGAAGCTCACTGGGAGTATCCCAAGTCTGCCTCTAGATTGGGTTTCTCAGGCATTTGAGTTCACAGAGCAACTGTTGTCCCACCCATGATTAGGAGTCTGGTCTCACTAATTCTGCCTTTGACCTAATAATTTAAAGTCTCAGTTTCTTCTTCCAAATGGATGAAATAAGACAGTGTTTGTTGAGTGCTTAACACACGGTGAAAGCTCAAAAAATAGTAGTTACTAATTACTGATCTCAAAATATCAAAAAGGTTTAGCATGTGAGAACCACACTTTATAAATAAAAAATAATTCACAGCAAGCACATCAGGGTGTCAGGAAACATATGCTGGCTTTGCTTTACCAAGGACATTTCAGGTCAGAACCAGGTCTGTCATGTGGCTGAAGTTAGTGTCCTGCTCCCATGCATTCTTCACAGAAGTTCTCAGACTCTGCTAACCCTAACCCAGCCTCTGCTGGTGTCACAGTGCATCTCATCCTTGAGGCAGCTATTGTACCCTTGACCTCTCTAGCCAGGCTGTCCTGTTTGGGGAGTTGTCATTCTGAATAGTCTGCATTTACGCTCTGCTTGTGTTCAACACCCAGATTCTTCCTACCACGTTGGCAGCCCTGCTTTGTGTTTGTTCCTGAGACTTCGTACACCACTTAATACATGGGTCATTACAAAAGTTTTGAGACACACAAAAATCAAGAAATGTAAAATCTGTGCAGACAGAAACAAATGAAGTCCTCTCAGCAACACTGATCAACTGAGGAAATTAAAAGTTGCATCAGTGAATCAGAAAGGACAGTGTTGGCGGCTGTGTTTCTTGGAAGTAAAATAATGGACATTTAGTCTCAATGCCTTTGTAACCACATCAGGTAACCACATCATTTGCTTTGCTTTGGACGGAACTTTCAGGAAAGTCTTGCAGTACCTGGAGAGCAGCTCAATTGGGAAAAGGAACACAAGGCTTCGATGTATTCCCAAGGATTATTTCAGCAACATGGGAAACTTTCAAAACATTAAATTTCACTGGAGCCTTCACTATAGGGGATTCTATACAAAGAAACACACAAAAAGCTTAGGAGGGCCAAAGTTCATTTTTACTTCAAAACACTTGCTCAGACTGATTTAGGATAACAATCTACAGTTTTTCACATCTTGGTTGTTCCATTCAGGCTTTCCAAGTCGCCCAGGTCCAGGCACAGACCTTGAGGCGTCTGCCTGCCAGCAGCCCCCTGGCCACAGGATTCTTCCCTATCTTGCATTTTATATCCTAGGTTATTTTTTAAATACTTACAGTATTTCTGATATATGTGATCAGTCATCCAACTTTTCACATTTTGATGGCCCTAAAGTCCATTCAAAAAGAAGCCAGGCAATTTCTCTTATCTCTCAGGAACTCAAAGAGAAGGAGGTTGTGGACAAAGTCATGGAAACACTGGACAACGACAGAGATGGTGAATGTGACTTCCAGAAGTTCATGGCCTTTGCTGCCATGGTTATCACTCCCTGCTGCAAGCTGTTTGAACAACAATGAGATGGAGAAAGCAGCCAGGTCCTCCTGTAACACAGAAAGTCACCCAATGAGGCAGAGAGCAGGGGCTTGCATGCTTTGTAGGAGCTGAGCTTTCTGGTCATGTGGTAGCTATTGAGGAAGTTTGATTTGCTTTGTGAATAAAAAACTGGCAACCTCTTTCTGAGGGCTGTTTCATATGGCCTGTACCATTATTTCTGCTATATTAGACTAGTAAGCTGACTGGTCCCAGGAACTTTGGTAATAACCATTTAGGAAAGCCATTCTCAGTCATAAATGTGCTATATGGCCACTATGGCTGTGTAGAGCCCTAGAGAAAGCAAAGCTGACTACCAAAAATTACCTTGGGGTGTCCTTAACACTTTAACTGCATTTTAACATGCAAAGCCTTGTCCAGCATCATTCGAAAAGGCTGCGCTTCCTGAGATCTGCTCATTAGCGCAAATAAAGCCTAAAGCATGTGGAGGGCCTGACTGTTCAGTCCCACCTACCCAAGAACTAGGTCACATTTAGGTCCCTGTTCCAGGGATGACCTGTGATGACCAAGTAAATTATTTTAACTGACAGTTCTAAATGGAACGGTGTGTCTCATAAACCACAAGTCCTGACACTTTAACCCCAATGGAGGGGAATGCTCCTGCTGGGGAGGATCCTGGGGCATGGGGCCACGGCTCCAGCTCTGCCCTGGGGTGACTGTAGGGCAATGTGGGCCTGCCTGCCCCTGAACTGCAGACCACTGAGTTCTCCACCCCAGCCCAGATCGGCCCACTGGGGAGGCCAAAGCTGCCTTTGATGCTTCTGTGTTCCAATAAGCCAACAAGCTGCAAATATGAAAAACCACTCCTAGGAAACTCCAATTAATTGTACCTGCCCTCTTCCTATTATGTCTAAGGGCGCAGACTATGGTCATCTTCAGAGAACTGCCCTTGGCCATCTGGTGACTGCAGTGATATTTAGCAATGAGGTATATAGCAGTTTTAGTTGGAGAGTTTATGCACTTAATTGTCAGACCTTGTACGGCTACAGCTCTGATGGCCATTCTAGAAAAAGAGTCCCAAAATTGCTTTGAAGGGTGGACTAGGTGCTGGCATCAATGCATAGCTCCCCACGGGGAGTATCTCAGAGGTGATATAGTGAGATACTATATCTCACTATATAGATGAGATAGTGATTGATATCACTATCAATGAAGTATGTAACACTTTTTCTAGGACAAGTTCACAAACTTAATTGACATATCTCATACATTGGATTTCTCTATACACATAGGTTCAGACTATAACTTCAAGTTCCAAATTGTTTCCAAGGGACTTTGAGAGGGAGCTTCCTTATATTGCAACAAAACTCAGAAATAACAAGCAATACAGGGGATCCTCAACACAGAAATTCCAGGGCCTGTCACACAGATGGGAACCCAAAGAGGACAAACGCCACCCCAAATGGCACTGCAGATGGTGCCTCAAATGCCCTGCCACAGGGCCGGAAGGCTCACAAATGTTGATCCAGAGGAGATAAATGCCACTCCACATAGCTGGAAGCTCCAAAACTTCCTCCAATAGGTGGCCTAATCCCCCCATTCTCTGGGCCTCAAATAGCTGTCTAAATCCTGTTCCCTGGCAAACCCTCCCAAATGGTGGCCTGGTCCGTCTGGGAACTGCAAATGAGCTGTAAATTCAAACCAGCTTCTCTAGTTTCACTCAATCTCATGACTTCCACCCCATAAGGTGCCCCAAAAGAAACACAATTGACAGTAAGGTCTGAAAACCCCCCACATGGGCAGAATTGGCATCTCAGCCTATACACTGGGCAATTTATCCAATAAGATGCGTAGTGTCTGGACACTTTTCAAATCCATTTCCTTCTCCACCTCAGTTTAGGTTGCAGGGAGTGCATCTACTTTGAGGAGACAGATGGGGGTTCCCCCAGGCTCCAGCGGCTGCTGTGGCTGTCCCTTGCTTCCTTACCTCAAAAAGTTGCTTTGACCCAGGGCTGCTCCCTGCCTCTTCTGGCAATAGGGGCTGCCACACCACTGGGGGGCCAGTGGGCCCACCAAGGATGCCAAATTCTGTTTTCAAAATTTCAGCATTTGTTCCTGAGGCTGTATCCAAAGAAGGATGATAAGTTGTTTGAGGAGAAGGAAAAGAGGTTTATCAACTTGCCAGCAAATGAGGAGGTTGGCAGGCTCCCCTCTCAAAGCACCAGTGTGTTTTCTTTCCCTTGGTATCCCATTCTCTCCATTTGCTGCCCTCTAACTTTCCCACAGCCCCCAGCTCCCTGAGCAGCCATTTTAGTCTCTGTGGAGTAGATCTGCCATCAGGTCTGTCTCAGCGACAGTTTCATTGATTTTTTCTTTGAAGGAAACTGTTCATTCTTCCTTTGTATGTCTGGTGGGTTTTTTGTTGAAAACTAGGCATTTAAATCTAATCATTTTGTAACCCTGGAAATCAGATTCTCCTCATTCCCCAGGGTTTGCTGATTTAATGTTTTTGTCTATTGTTTCTGCTTTTTTGATTGTTGCAGGCTGTGTATCCTCTCAGGTCTTTTCAGAGCATGGGCTTGCAGTATCACTTTCTAATTTTCTTCACATATGCACGTGCTTTTCAATGTCCTAGTCTTTAAAGTCTGGCTCCCAAGGGGGGAATAAGAAAAGTGGAGAAAGGAAAGAGTGCTGGCCCTTTTGACTCCTGGGAATCCCTTAAGCCAGACAGAGAGGGGCTCACAGAAATGAGAGGATAGGCCACAAAGGCCCATAGCCTCTTTGCCCCTTTGAAATCAGAAGCAGCAATCATGGGTGGTGCCTGTGGCTTAAAGGAGTAGGGTGCTGGCCCCATATACTGGAGGTGGCAGGTTCAAACCCGGCCCTGGCCAAAAACTGCAAAAAAAAAAGCAGCAGCAGCAATCAGAACAGAGATCCCTGAAACTTGGAAGGCAGCATCCCTCCTGCCCACGCTGGCTCCATGGCACTATTCCTGGTACACGAGTATAGCTGCCTAGGGGCGGGGTGGCTGCTTCTGTCCTAAGAGCTGAAATCAACCCAAACCCAGATTTACATCCAAGCCTCTCCCTGGAAGCTGCAAGCCATCTGTAGAGTTCCAAAACAGCTATATCCAACTACCTGATTCTGCCAGTGCAATCAGCATAGTGGGGCAAGAGCTTCCTGGTGCTTTCTGCTCTGTCATCTTCCCAGAATCTTCTCTCTTCCCTACATTTTAATGTAAAATAAATTCTTTTAACTCACCTTCCTCTGTCACAGCATCATAACCCACAGGTGGTTCAGCCCTGCTGCTCTCCACCTGGAGCCATTGCTAGGCGGTGACACATCTGTGCTCTTTTTTCCCCTCAAAGCTTGATTCATTTTTCAACATCTGACTTTTATGGGACATCTGTAGTGAACATTCATGTTATCTGGTCTTTTCAATTCCTGTAAGAGTCTGAAGAATCAGTTACTCTACACTTAATAGGCACTTAAAACTAATAACAACCTTTCACTTCCTCTCACCTTGCACTGTCCTTAGCAAACTCCACAAAGTCCTTCCAAATTATCCTGTTTCTCTCCTTAACCCAAAGGCAGAGCTGAATTCAGGGAGCTGAGGGTGAGGGTGGCGATGAGGCTGAAGAGCGAGGCTTTCAGACCAGCCACAGGGAGGACGGGGGACACCACCTGCTTGGGTATATTGAACTCATTCCCCTTCAATGTATGATTTTAAAATTAAAAAGCAAATGGCTTGGTGCCCCTAGCTCAGTGAGTAGGGCGCCAGCCACATACACTGAGGCTGGCGGGTTCAAGCCCAGCCCAGGGCTGATAAACAACAATGACAACAGCAACCAAAAATAGTTGGATGTTGTGGCAGATGCCTGTAGTCCCAGCTAGTTGGGAAGATGAGGCAAGAGAATTGCTTAAGCCCAAGAGTTTGAGGTTGCTGTAAGCTGTGATGCCATCGTACTCACAGAGGGCAGCACAGTGAGACTATCTCAAAAAAAAATAAATAAATAAATAAAAAATAAAATTAAGAAGCAAAAAAGTTAAATGTTAATGGTTTTGAAGTTTTGCATGCAGTTCCTTTTTAATTTCCCACTGCTGAAATCTAACATCATACAAAAAGGCTGAATGCCTCTGCCACACACCATTTTATGACAGTTGTTTTTTTTTTTTT